CCAAGCGAGGACCTTCTCCACTCCTCTCTCCGCCTTGCGTCGCGGCCACAGCGTTTATTGTTGCAGAGGCTTAAAGGAAAAGCCAGGAGGGCAGAGACACATGCATCCAGTCAACCAGTCAGTCAGTCCGGGAGACCCGTAAAGGACGGGTGGAAGGAAGGCAGGAAGACAGGACCGTCTGTCTGGAGTGTACGAAGCCCGCACATCTCCTGCCCCGTAGCTGCTTTTTGTCAGTATCCGACGCTGCTCGCTGGGGGGCATTTGGAAAGGAGCAGCGAGATCCGAGAGAACGCGCGTCGTGGGAACTGAACCAAGGACGCACCAACGGGAACTAAGGGGGTCTCCTTTTAAATTTTTTCGGTTTTGTCACCAGCTATAAACAGCAGAAGAAAGAACCGCTCGAAGTACCTCTATTTTTGTTTTTCAAATATAAGGCGGATTTTTTTCTTTTTGTAATTTAACATCCGTGGAAAGCCATTGTGCATCTTGAGGCACCATCAACTGAGGAGTCCTTCCCTAAATCGATGACATTACACAGGTGCAGAAATGGCGTTTTCCCGGCGTTCTCACGTCGGACTTTAAGATGAAATAAAGCCTAAGCGGCTCGTCTTATTCCCAGCTTGTAAACTCTTTTGAGACACTGTAAAAGTAAGACTCCTGGAGGAAATACAAGGACATACCTTTTTATTTAAAACTGCATTGTCCATTCAGCCATCTTAAGGGCCTAGAGATGTGGGTAGACAAACTTTACAACTAGCAACCAGTGTTAACACATGGAGTGAAGACAGCAGCTGTAAAAGAAAGTAGGGAAGAGGAAAGTGATTGTGACCGCATCAGTGGTTAAACAGCAAAGGGGTGGGCTTTTTATAAAGTATTTATCAGTAGAAAGGTTGAGTTTCTGTGAGTGTACAATGATTTTAAAGGAAAGGCAAATGAAGTTGTAATACAGCTTTTCTGTAATGGCAAAAAAAAAATTATATATATATATAGGTTTAGTGAAACAACTCAGTGCTTGAAATGTATAGCAGTTTTTTTTCTTTACAGGAAAAGAGGAATCCGAGAGGCAGTGCTGAGCAGTGAGCATGTCAAAAATAATGCACAGTAGTGCAACTCCCTATCTTGTAGAGAAACGAGGGGGAGGGAAAAAAGCAGGGGGGTTTTTTTTCGGTGTCAGAGGCAGCTAATACTGTCAAAGGCCAAATAGGCAGGCTAGCAGGTGCACCCATGGACCTATACAATAACTGCCCGTGCACATTTGTGAGTCAAATAATCAAATGCTTAATTTCGTCTTTTCATTCTGGCAGAGGATATATAGAGTCTTTAGCGGCTGATTGTCCAAACGCAATTCTTGAGTAAACTCATATTCAACCCCAAGAATTGTGTATGGACATCTGTTGCTGCAGACTCACATTCGTCACTGCTGTCTTTGGCCAAGCGCCACATCCGAAATTGTGGGCCTCTAGAAAAAAAACACCCCAAACCCCACAAAGACACCAGTAGAAATGGCTTAAATCTCGTTTTGTTTTGTATCTGTCTCGTTTCAGGTAAGGGACAAACCACATTTATGCATGATATGTAGAAAAAGTCGCGAGACTGGGATAATAAAGTGGAGGAAACCGCATTCTGCCTCATGTAATGTGTTTTTCGGGCTGTGTGCTGTGGTTGGCCCGATTGGTATTTACACTTTGTCGAAGATCTAATCAAGACTGTTTGTTTTAAATGGCAAATATCGACTGGAAGCATCAATGTATTGACTGTCTTTGGCAAATAGGAGAAAGCAGTAAGTTGAGAGCTCAGAGAGTGAGGCCTGTATGCAGCATGCACGCTGTGGATGAGACGAGCCATTGCTAAAAAACCATCGGGTACATTAAGCAGTGAACGGGTTTAATAGACAGACTTTAAGGTTTAACGTTTTCGTTTACCATATAAACTACACGTAATGGAAAATAGCAACAACAATTCCTAAAAAATTATTAATAAACTGAAAACACATCTACAGCACATTATCTCTAAGTAGGGCTCAGCAGACTAAACTCAAGTATCTATTGCTTCCACCACAAGATTCTACGTTGTTTATTTATGTCAAGGTGTAGTAGTATTATATAAAAAATAGATATATAGAAAACAAAGAAAAGCAGGGCTTGATGGTGTCAAATATCTGGAGCCAAACAGCGTCATTCATAAATCACGTGGGGCACTTCTTGGCCCATTGGATGCTTCGACGTTATTGTTTTGTTCATAAAGAATAAAACTATACCCACTTCAAAAATAATGCGATTATTTTACTGAACTATCCATAGGTTTTTTTTTTAATTCATAAATATTTACAAAAATGAATTTATAACTTTAACATTTTCGAGCAATACAACCTAGAAACTGTTTAATTCTACATTTGTCAAAAATCATGGAAAATTGCTCATAATTTAATTTCAAAATATGAGCATTTTTTCCTCTTTCTCTCTATCTCTTTTGTCTGCCTGTCTTTCACTCACTCCCTCTCTCTTACACACACACACACACACACACACACACACACACACACACACACACACACACACACACACACACACACACACACACAGTATTGTTGAACATTAAAGACTAACCTCACTTAATTCCAGGGGATTAGTGCATCATGTTTGCTCTTATATAAACGCTTCTGTGTCCAACGCAGGGGACATACAGAGGACAAGTATGTTCTCCTGCTTGACATATTGAGAGAGCGTTTTTATTGTAATTTATTACTATCTATTTTACAAAACACTCTAAAATAATCATTTTAAAACAGAGTGGCTGGTGTAATGTCTTCGAACAGTAAACCAGTAACAATTACTCATGTAAAAAAACGAAAAGAAAAAAACTATTTTATTAGCAATCCATAGACTTAGTGTTTTGCTATTGTGATGGTAAGCGACTTAGTATTATAACGTGGCGATAGACTAATGCCTTCTTTTTATTTTATTTTATTTTTTTAAATTTCGAAGACGATGAAGTAAGTTTTGATTGGCTTAAGTGAAATGTGTATTCCCGCTTTCTCTCTATGGTGTAATCAAAAAATAGAGCAAATTTTGTTTCTTTTTTTTTTTCATCACAATATAAACTTACATGCGATAAAACTACATAGAAAACAAAGTATTAGCTTGACATTTACAAAGCGAAAGAAAAAAGAAAAGCAAGAGGAAAAAATATGGCAAAAATTCGTATATTATTTTCAAAATATAATTTTTTTAACCATGTTGTCAGGTTGATGTAAAATGAACAATCGCGTAAATAAGGCTTTTATGTTTGTTCGCCATTGTTTACTAAGTAGGTGTTTACCTGAGAAAGAGAGAGAGCTTCAGCTTTTTATTTCCACTGTTATAACCAGAGCTGTGAAGCCAGGTCGACTCTCCCACCGTGCAGCAGCAGCATCCTCCACAGTGAGCTAGTCACTGTGCACACTTACCTATATACAGAAATGTAGGCCCAGGTAGCTCTCCAAACCTCAGGTGTTTTTCACCGGATGCACTCATAATCCACATATCAAAGTAGCTACAAACCAGATTTAACTAACCAGCCAAAGATAACCAGAATTTATCTCCACAACTTTACATATCCTTGATATTTAAAGACAAATGATTTATTCGAGCAACAAGCTCTGTTTGTCTCCTCACATTAAACCCCTGTCTCTCTTTGCACACACACACACACACACACACATTGCTGAGTACATCATCCTCGGCCAGCACTAGCTGACACAGTGCAACGTTTTCTCCTCTCTAACCCCCTCACAGCCTCATTAGCATTTCCTTTCTGCCGGCCATTATAGGCTAGTTTCCCGTTGCAAATCGGACTCCACAACCGCGAAAAGGTTTTAGGTCGCCCCGGGCGTTCAAGGGAGGGCAGCCCGGAGGCTAGACCTCGACCTCCCGCAGTGGTGCTGTAGTTCACACCCCACCCACCACCTTCACCACACACACACAAACATATATGTTACACGCACACACCCCCATCCCCTTCTTATGAATATTCTCCATGAGTTTGGTTATATGAAGGTAAAATCTCTCCCAAGTGTAGTCTAATCAGCCTAAAAATGCGCTGGGAACACACGAGCTGGTCTCAAATCGATCACGTATAAGCTATCATCAGGGATTATCGAAGCGTGATGTAAAACCCTCACTGTGTTAAACATTTGGATAGGCGGCCCCTGTGCGTGATACCACCTTGCAGCCAAAAAATGGACTCCGCTGGAGGAGGGAGATTTTGCAATTGGCAGAAGTAGTAAGACACATTGTGCTTTTGGAATTTGTAACAAAAAATTATACAAATAACACAAATAGAAAAAGGTGCGATATTAATTGCCTAAACACACGGTGACTTGATTTATGATACGAGGTCGATCGCTACGGGAAAAAAGGTAATTTCTAGCGATTTATGCGGTATTTGTAAATTTAAAACGACAGCTGTGATAGTGTACAAATTTATATAAAGAACGTCTTCTTTACTTTAGTTTTTTGGTAGCATTTTTCTGCCGTCTAGGTTTAGAACCCCTCACCCCCCAAAAAACAAGCCAAAATAAATAAATAAAATAAATAAATAAAAATCCTGATAAACTGAATGTTGAAACAGGGGGGGGGGGGAAGTAGCAGAAAAAATGTGACAGAAACTGTGGTACAAATAGATGTATATATTAAAACGAAGGACAATTTTAAAGACAATGAAATTGTAAAAAAATGTAAAAAAAGGAAAAAAAATTAACCTTTTTTTTTTTAGACATTTAGGGCAAAATACATTGAGGAAAAACATTTCATAAAAGGTTTACATGAGATTAAAAAAAATGCTCTCAAGGGGATACAAATACGTTTTTAGGAAGTAATAGACTTGTCAAATACAAACAAACATGTAACTGGCTGTTTGTATATGAACACATTATTGACAGCAACATAACAAATATGTAAGCATATTAAATATCTTTGAGTTGGTTTTAATTGTTTACATATTTATAAACACTTAAAGCACAGTCAGTGTGTAATAAACCATTTATTAAATGTTAATACATTGCTCTGAAACACTAATGGAAGAGGGAGTAACGTGTGGGTTTTTTTTCCTAAAGTGGTGATTTGCAGCTAATTTTTAACCTTCAGGACAGACATGCAGGAAGAGTGTCTGCATGGAGATGAAGGCAGACCCAGTAAGTGTAGATACTGATATTGGTGCCTGGGAGATGGCCAGTGCAACCAGGATTTGTATCGCTTCCCATTACACCAGTCTAACAGTTTCCATCTTTCTATATGAGAATTTCTCCTCATTCCCATAAAACATCATCAATCCTCTCAGTTGTCGCTGGGCAGGTTGACACATCTGCAACATCCAATAGGGTGATGTGATGCTGGGATGTGGTGGTGGTGGGGCAGTAAGAAGAGATGATGTTGTGAAAAGGCTGAACTGTTAGGAAACATTTAAAATCCTTGCCTTCTTCTTTTTAAAAAAAATGTTTTTATCCTCCATGAAGAGTAGAAATAAACACAACGTTGTCTTGGTCTTGTAGTTGATAGTCCAGTTCCCCCTGAGGTGTAGAAAACACACAAAATAACTGAGAATCAAAAAATCTGCACAAGTCGCTGAAGAAAAAGCTGCGTTTATTAAAATAAATGTGTGAATCGCTCCTGTTCCCACTGGGGTCCAATCAATGCCAAACTTTTCATTTACATCCCATCCCGAGTCTTGTAATTGAATCAATTCATTTAAACTGTAGTGTTCAGGCTGTGTGTTCATGTAAATATGAGTTCAGATAAGAGACCCCAAGGACAATCTTTCCCCGCAGCTTCTTCCTGATTATATGAAACATTAACACACTGAAAAAATAAAAACAAAACAAACAACCAAACAAGTCAACTTTCCACATCCCCCATCTTTTTTTTTGCATTTTTAGTTTTGAAGATGCAAGCATATGTAATCTCAAATAATTTGAAATTAAATGCAGTGAAATTCACGAGAAACAATTTTACATATTGTTAGGACACACACACACACACACACACACACACACACTCTGACAGTAAACATAACTTCCCAGTGCTCACCATCAGTTCCCAGTCTGCATCATTGATAAGTACCAGGATCCCAGGCCTCCTGTGGGAAAACACAACACCATTTTCAGTCAGACGTATCTCCCAAAGGCAACGCAGATTCAACCACAGGCACACACGCGTGTAAAAGGTAGAAACAGGTAGCTCGCTCTCATTTCATACATGCTGTACACAAACATTTCATCAATTTACTACAAAAATACATTAATAAATAAACACCTAAAAAAGCCTAAAATAAAAACAAAAGAGATAAAAATCCCAATATTTAAAATAAAAAATATAATAAAGTATTGCACAAAGATGAAAATCTTTAAAGCAGAAGTCGAAACTATGGGATTTTTATGTTTTTCCTCCCAAATTTCAATCTGTAATAACAATTATAAAAAACGACTATAATGTTTTACACACAGGTTTATTAAAATATGTACATATTTTTAAAAAAATAAAATAATAACTATTGTCAACTACAGATTTGTGTTGGTGCATGGCATGGGGATTTCTTTGACAGAGGCTGACAAACTCTACTAATATCATTCACGGACAACACATTTAAAAAGCGATGAATTCTGCCGAACGTCAAAATCTATGCAGAGACAGGAAGCAATCAAATCAGCTTTTTATCATTATTATTTTTAAGTCTTAAAATGATAAAATGACTATTGAGTATTACATGTCAGAGATATGTGTGAGATTTCCATGTTACAGCCATGGTGACTCACAACCCCCCCACTTTGCTTCTGTTCTTATTGCTGCTAATGTAATATACTGTGTATCTGAAGTGATTTATTTACAAATATGTAATTAATATTTTTACATATTGATCTTATTGTTACAAGTATTATCTGTCATAATTCCTCAAAAACCGAACGTGATAAGAGAAGTTAGAAAATGAGGATATAAAAAAAAGAAAATGTAAATGAAAATTATCAGGGCCCCAAAAATAACAACAACAAACAAATTTAAAACAATTGTCATAATTGTGAACGATTACAGACAACTGTCTTTTAATAAAAGATGCTAATGTGGGTTTTTTTCTTTACTGAAGAGATAACTAAGTCACAATGCCTGTGATCATCTGTCCTTTATCCACCTCTTAGATGCTCTGTGAGAGGAACCTGCGAGAACAAATACACATTTGCAAAAGCATGCATGCACACCCAAAACAAAGCTGTGCTGACAAAGAACAAAAGAATAAAAGAGAAGCTTGTAAACTATATCACACACACAGGATCCATGGAGCATTTTAAAAGATAATGAAGCAGCACCTTAATGATGGTTTGCTCAGAAAACAATGTGTGCTGCAAGCATAAAGCACACACAAACACACATCTCTTCTATAAGGTTTATAGGTAACCCGTCTTTTTCTCCATTCACTGGTTAGATGGTGCTATAAATAGTCCTGCACAAAGGCAGCTGTAAAAGTCAGCCAATCCTATAAGGCTGCTGTGAGCCCACGATCCACACACACACACAAACACGTGTGTGCATACAAGCACAAATACACAAGCATGTGTGATGCGTGTGCACAGGTAATCATCTTACTGAAACCTACAACCTGAAGGCTAGACTCTCCCCCCTCAACATTTCAGCAGTTTTAGCTGCTGGAAAGATTTTTTTTTTTTAAAGCCCCCCTACACACTGTTCCCAAAATGCAAAAATGCTCCCGTAGAGATATTCTGATCATGTCTGAAAGTTTGTTTGTTGTTTTTTTTTTTCAAATGACAGTGTAATGTAATGAATTACATATCTACTTCAGGTGTGTCCAGTGCACTCACACAGAGTCTCCTTGGACGAACAGCTCAGGTCGTTCCTTCAGCAGGTTCCTTTGGATCCAGACCAGCAGCTGCTTCATGTCCCCTAGAAAACACACAAATACACACACATGACTTCACAAGACGTTGCATTGACTTGCATTCATGTCCTGGAGAATTACCCTAAGCCTAACCATAACTAATATTTACTTAAACTAAAGAGAGACTGCTTATTAAAATGCAATGCTTTACATATTGAAGACTTATTTTTGTGCCCAAAACAGAGGCAGGTCCCCACTGTGTGACTGTGTAAACAGATTTATGTCTTATGTGCGCACGCACACACACACACACACACACACGCAGACGACAGGGGTCATAGAGATCAAGGGTTAAGGGTCAAGGTGCATGATTCCAGCCCCCTGGTCGATGTGACGCGACAGAGGCACCAGAAGGGACAGGAAGTGTGTGTGTGTGTGTGTGTGTGTAGGTGCATGTATATTTATGAGTGTATGTGTATGTTGGGGGGAAGGAGAGGACACTGAAAATGGGGGAAGGTTGTCTGATGTCAATGGCCAAGAGCAACATTTTTCACCTTGGTAGAAAGAAATAAAAGAAATTATTTTAGTGTATAAATGATCAAATGGACAATCTAAAGCCTGAAATTTCATTGTATTAACTGAAATGTGTTATTTCATTATATTAAAATAGTAAGGAAAAATGTAAATACATAGATTTTTTTCAAATCATGTAAGACTAATATCAATTTATCTGAAACTTTGTAATTAAGGTGATTTGTTTTGTAAGTACTAAACAAACAAAATCAAACGCAAAACCAGATTTTCAGAGTAGCAACTTTGCTGTCACACATTAAATGCAATGTCTGAGCTTGAATTTTCTATGAGTCTGACCTCTTGAACAATCAGATTGACCTTCCCTCAACAAAAGCCTGAGCTAATGACGGCCCCAAAAGCCAACGGCAACGAGAGGTTTTAGAGTAAATCCCTGCTAAATGAATAACAATGAATATATATTAGAGTTATGGCTCTCTTTAACGTTAAGATTCAAGGTGTCTGGGCGTTAGCTGGGGTTCGTTTAAATATGGTGCACTGATCTAACGTGAGCACACAAAACTGCAACAGAAGTAAAACACGCACACAATCGCAGAAATTTATTGTTTTTTCTTATGAGTGTTTTCTGGTTATGTGTCTGCGTGTTTGTGTGTGTCCGATCAAAGCTGTCTACTTGACGTACATTGGGGTTGTCGAATCGTGAAAACAATTCAGAGCCAATCTGCAATCGCTGGTAGCCATATGATACACACAGACGCCCTATCAACTAAGCAGAAATGGCCTCCTTGACCAGTTTACACAGGAGCGAATGAACAGAGGAGACGAGGGGACGGAAATGTACAAGGAAAAAGGGAGAGAAATAAACAGTGCAGAGGAAGAACAAATACTCCAAAGCGAGGAGGAGTGCGGCAGCACATATGAGGATGAGTGGATGACACTGAGTCCTCCAAAGCCAGGTGTAAAGAGAAGAATCTGTACCAGGTAGGCAATGAATCACTCAGAGATCCGAGAGTTCAGACGGATCAAAGGCAGAGCTAAAAATCATAATAACACGGCACAAAGGCTGCAGGCTTTACATTAAACAGACTCAGAAAATGCAAGCAAAATACTGAACGATCACAGGGAGGCACATTTGGATTTGCTTTACTTTTTTCAATGCATTATTCTGCTCATTTATAATGCACACTTTCAGTTAGCATTTAGCAGGATCCAGGGTAAGAGACAGGCATTGCAATGGGGCTCATGTGCTACTATATGACAAAAAGAGTTCAGGGTTTAATTATTCTTTCATAAAATCAAGATTAAACAACAGTGACTGAATAAAGTAACACATAAAAAATAACACTAACATATATATAAATACATTAAAACATTGAGATTTGCAAAGGCATAAAACGTGATGCATAAGATCTTTGGGAGTGAGGTCAGGCACGTGCAGTTTCAAGCCTGTGTGCAGGTTAATTGTAGAGCTGTCTGCCAACTCAGTAGTATAATGACAGAGCTAGTTCTCTGTGGTTGCAGGACTTCATATAAAAAAAGAAATAGCTCCCCCTTTGCAACATGTGCACACACACACACACACACAAAATGTACAAGGCAGGGAATATTGACCTGCACCTCTGTGGGGCTAAAAACAGAACTAATCACTACAGCAGTCATAACTCCTTCTTTGTGGTGACTCCTTTCTTTACACTCCTGCCTGCCTTTGACTATTAGTATTTTTCCCCACCATTACCTCTTATTCACGCTTTCATCCTCTCAGCCATTTACTTTTTTCTTTGGCTCCCTCTTTCTGCATCTCTCTCTTTCTCACCCACACATACACTCATAAAAGCACTCTTCCCCCTCTTTCACTTCACATTTTTTGCCTCTTATATTCCAGTCTTTAAACAAACAGGCAAACATACTAAAAGTTTCACATAGAAAATAAAGCAGGGTTGCTTTAGCTCAATATACAGATTAGTGATAATTCAGACTTTAATCAATTAAGCGCTTTTTTTTATTTATTTATTTTTAAGAGGAAACATCAGGCACTGCCTTTTCAATCGATTTCTTGTAAAATGTTACACAGGCCTACAAATATAAATCAACCCCAGCCTGAACCCAAAAGAAAGACTTATATGGATGCAGTGCTTTACAGTTAAGAGACAATGTATAGAAATTAGGTTGGGAGATGAAAAAGGAAAAGATGGAGGTTGCGGAGAAGCTTCGAGGTTCAGGCTTTACGGTCCAGGTAGAGGGGAAAAGAAAATGAGGGACCAAACAGACAAGGCAGAGAGAAAGTGCGTCACAAGCTCGTAATGCATCCTGGGATTGCGGCGTTGCGTGGGCGAAAAGCAGACACAGAGGGAGGGGAGAGAAAGGGCGCCATTTTGATGTCGATTTAAAACCATTGCTGCTTTTTCCTTTCCTTTGGTGCCGGTCTTTTTTAATTTTTTGCTTTTCTGCCTTTGTGCAATTACGACAATCGTGCGAGTGGGATGAGCTATCCATCTTTTTGCTGATGTGACGGGCAAAAATGGCGTGGTCCTTAGACTATGGGGGTTTTGTTGCGTGAGAGAGGGTGAGATAGAGAAAGAGAGGGGGTGGGGTTTTTCAGTTGAGGGTCATCAATCACCGGCTGGGGTCAAAAAAGAAATACGAAGGATTCAGAACCCATTATATCTGTCCCAATTGCACCCTCTCTGAACCCACACGCACTCTCACGCACACACTCAGACGTCTGCTGGTTTGTAGCAACATTTCCAGGATCAGCAAACCTACTGAGCGAAGCTATGCCTAACATCACGAGAACAGAGGCGAGTAGTGTTCTGTCAGAATGTGTGTACACCTGTGTCTTTAAAACCCAGAGCTATGCTATAAAGCAAAACATCACCTCTTTCTTTCTCTCTCACTCTCACTCACACACACACACACACACACACACACACACACACACACACACACACACACACACACACACAGGGGTCAGCTGGCACAGCAAGGTCACATGAAGCTGACATTCCCTGTTCTGGTCAACTTTTGTCTTTTTGTTGTCGTGGTAACGTCAGGACCATGGATGAACACCCTTTGTTTAAACAAATACCAAAGACACATATTTCTCTGGTTTGTCCGCCGTTTCTGTGACACGCACACATATGTTTTCAATAAATTTACTACTCATTTTAACCTCTAAGAAGCCATATTTTTAATATACTCATTTTCCTCAATGACCCTGGTCCTAAGTTGATTTTCTGGGGAGGAAAAAGTCCAGCTGAAAGCAGGTTTTCCTTTCTTCTAGGCTGAATGACCTGTATTAATCCAATTTGTTTGGAGCCAGAGGTACAAAACTTGCAATGTAGAAATAATCAAATAATCATCTCTTTAAATCCCTGCCTATCCTTTCCAAAGCAAATATTAGACATTTTTGCACATTAAAAAGTTCTCATTAACACATGCACAGGATTACAAATTGCCTGCTGTGAACAAACCAAGGCAGTGCATCTGTGCACTGCTAGACAGAGGACCTGCAGACCACTCATCAAAACAAAGACTGATAAGTGTACAGTTTTTTCTTCAACAGTCAAGCTGTGCTGTATATATAAATGTACCACCATGAACACATATTGGGTACTAGCAGCTTTCTTTGATTTGTCAGAACTCAGAAACAATGGTATGGTCCTTAAGGTTTAATAGACACTGATGCAAACAGTGGAAGTCTTTTAGGCTCTAATTTTGACGTGTACAAACAGGGGACTGGTGATACTTACAAGGTTCTGACTGGCTTGGAAGAGTCACGTGATGCTTCTTCACACCATTAAATAGCAGCTCTGCTCCTCCTCTATACAAAGAAAGAGCAGATATGCAAATAAAGAATGTGTGTGGCACTTCATCGAATAACTACCAAAGCTAGGCATTTATAACTTCTACAATTACAATCACATTTAAAATAATTATAACAACATAGTTAGAGAAGGTAGAACAGAAAGGACTTGGGGAGAAAAACATTATTTTAATAGGTAAAACAAAAGACTACAAAACAGTGTAGAAATAGATGATTACATCTAATGCAGTTTAATTATTATGTAGGGTACTTTTTTTGCAGTCTCTGGCAGATTGATAGTGATTGTAGAGCCAATAAAATCAGACACAGTGACACCGTCACCCCTCAGTGGAGAGGACATAAATCTTATGTAACCTCCACAGGTCTATGAAACAACATTACTTGTGAACTGTGTATATTATCTATACAATTTCTTTGTTTTTCTGCTTTAAAGGTTATGCTGCCAACTTAGGCCCGTGTCTGAATTACCTACTAAAATAAAACTGCTAATCAGTTTCCCCAGCTTTGGTGTTCCTCTTCATCTTTTCAGACTGTTTGTTTACTACTTTTACATTTGGGTCATTGTCACTACTAGTAGTGTTGAGATGATACCTGAACCCTACAGAGGTTACCCAGGTAGTCCAACTCCTCCAGGTTGGCACATCAATACATGCCACTGCCAGAATGTTTGCCCGGTCTCTCAGCCCAGTCCCAAGATCATGGAGGAGATTCCAGGATTCAGGCAGTTACTCTAGGAGAGCTGGACAAGGCCATAGAAGGTCCTTAACACATATCTGGTCATTTGTGCAAGGAGGAACATAGAAAGGACTGCCAGTACCCTGCAACATGACCTCCACCAGGCCACTGATGAGACTGTTCATGCTTCTTTAGTCAGAGACAGACTTCATGAGGGTAGTCCGATGGTCTGACACCCTATATTGGGCCCTGTGCTCTTCGCAGATGAGAGCGGATTCACCCTGTGCACATCTGACAGACATGAAAGGGTCTAGACAAGCCATGCAATACATTATGCCGCCTGTAGCATTGACTAGTTTACTTGTGTGTCAGTGATGGTCTGGGGAGGCATATCCATGGAAGGACCCAAAGACTTCTACACGCTAGGCAGCCTGACAGCCATTAGATATTAGCATAAAACCTTTGGATCCAGTGTCAGACCCAACACTGATGCAGTAGGTCCTGAGTTTCTGCTGGTGCACAACAATGCCTGGCCTCATGTGGTGAGGCAGTTCTTTGAGGATGAAGGAATTGATACCACTGACCAGCCCCCACGCTCGCCTGGCCTAAATCCAACAGAACACCTTGAGGACACTATGTTCCATCACCATGTCCAGGAGCTCAGCAATGCTCTGGTCCAGATCTGGGAGGAGATACCCTCAGACACTATCGTCTCACCATCATCTCATTAGGAGCATGCCCCAATGTTGTCAGGTATGCACACAAGCATGTGGGAGCCATACAAATGACCATTTTAAGTTATTTTTAATCACTTTGATTTTCACATTGTCTTTGAATTAAGCCCTTTGTAGGTTGACCATTTTCATTGCATTACATTTTGTTACATTTTTTTGTGGCTAGTGATGCAATACAGCTTCATGGCAGTATTTTCTCTTTTTTCACCATTGCCTCACAGAAAGCCAGGTTCAGATGTAATTTAACTTTCTATGTTTTACCCATGCGTGCACATGTTCTCTCTTGGTATTCCAGCTTCCTCCCAGAGTCCAAAGACATACTGCCGTCAGGTTGCAAATGTATTGTCAGTGGATGAAGGCAAGCAATCAGAACTTGACAGTTATTTGCAAGGACCCTGTAAGTGAAACTGCCACTGTGTAGCAGAGCCATCAGATCGTTAGACTGTAGTTTAGGGGGTTTCCTTAAATTTGTCATCTCTTTGCATCATAGAAAATCACATTACGTGTGCTTAGATTTGATATTGCTTTCTTTCAGTTTGCACTTGTATCAGTCTAGGACAGCTAGTCTCAAATCCTTATTTTCTCAAGCAATTCTGACTCTAGCCAAAGTCTGAGGTTCACAGTAGTCGTTGATAGTACTTCTACTGGTTACCTTATACTCAGCACTCTAGATTAATCTTACTTACCGAGTTTGTCAGTCTAGTACCATCATCTGCCAAAAAGTGATTTACAATGTTTCTATATAGACTGTAATGAACAGGATATATGAATTCGTTACATATAAAATAAAGATAAAACAAAGAAATGTTTTGCAAGTATTTTTATGACTGCAATTGTACCTACATCGATCTACCGGTAGTCCTTTTTGGTCACTAATGTTTAGAGAACTGTTATGTTATCTTTATTGCGATGTCTGCTGCCCTCTTGGCCAGATTCATCTTAAAAAATAATACATTTTAATTTCAATGAGACTTCCTACCCGGATTTCAAAAAAAAGATCAAATGAAAGTCTATTTGTTTAAAAAAAAACTGACTGCAGCTTCGTCCTTGTGACAGAAACGCTCTCTCAAGCTCACGTTTAATTGATATCATTCATGAGCGATATGTCACATTGACATATTTTTTTGACAGATTATAGGCAAAAAGTCATCCATAACCATTTAAATTCCAGCAAACTTTTTTTTTGGAATACCGGAAATTACTTTTTGGTACAACGTTGGGAAAGACTCCGTGCTGAGTAAACGAGTATCAAGCAGTGGAGGAGGCAGTCGGCTGGCAGGACTTTCCGCTATAGCAGTTTTCAGTTGTGCAGCTGAGAGCGTTTTCTCCCTGTTCACACGATAACCGTCTTAAGCTAACAGCGAGGCTCTGTCTGTGTAACTCAGAGACGAACACACACACTCGATAGTCGCTTACCCAAACTCCAGATGAATCGCTATGGACGCTGCCATATTGTCGGCACATGCAGGAAGTATTGGAGGGGGAGTCGGAAATGACGTATTTGGAAGCGGCAAATTATTATCGTTTTCTGTCAAATCACGTGGAGACGTAACCGTCAATCTGTTTAAATCATACATTATTATTATTATTATTATTATTATTATTATTGCGTTGGAAACAAACATATTTATTATTTATTAAACAAACCACTAAAATATGGATTCATATGCAGACTGTAAGTAAACTATACAAACATTTATTTGAATTCCATTAAAAGTTACTAGGTTACTGGTTTTATTAATTTACTTGTTTGTGAACAATTAAATCGGTTACTTTTACTTGATGTAATGATAAGAAGCGGTTTTGAGTTCTTGTGTAGATATGTCTGTCTGTGGACACATTTTGTCAAAGAGCTCAAGTCACAACCTTGCAAGTCAGACTTAAAATATCTTACAGGCGTCTACCTTGGACGTAAATGAAGGCTGAGTTTAAATATGGGTGTGATCCAACTCATGAATTCTGCATGGCAGTACTGGGAGGAGTGGTGGAGGGAAGTAGGAAGGCACCCTTTCCATGTAATGCCACTGTGCCACACACTTTTTGATTTGTAACTCCCTGGAGCATCTTTATCTATCACCTTGGGAGTGTAACAGCTACTGCAAATTGGTAGGTGTATACTCGTATAAGTCAACATGACAGCTGCCACTGTGCAAGATAGTCACAAAAATTTTAAGGAGGGGACTCCAGTTTAGGGGTTTATATTTGAAAGTGTGAATTAAACCTTGTTTAGTTTTTTAGCTGTAGTTAAATGTTTCGTAGTTGTGAAAATTAGAATGTGTTTTAAATTAAAAAATTCTTTATCTACGTTTTGAGTTATTCTCTTGTATATTAAGGCCTTTGAAATGTTTCATATTTGTAAGGCAAATATTACTCCATGCTATTGTTCCCATTTAAAAGCTGATATTCCCTTGTACTTTACCTTATTTTAATTAGAAGGTATTAGTTCTCTCTCGTCAACATGTATTTGCACTCTGCCTATTAATACTAAAGCATGCATAAGCATGGAACTACACTGTCTATTGCACCTTTCACACATGCATCCTCAGTCATGCTTGTGACAGTTCCAGCCATAGGTTACAGAATGTGAAGGATGAGGAGGGGGTGGGAGAGGAGATGGTCAGAGGTTTGAATTGCAAATCTGCTGCCGTCTGTTGGCGTCCAAGCCTTAGCAGGCCCTTCCTCGTCTTTATTCATGTGTTAATGAGGAGTCACTGCAGGGGCAGATAGACAGATCGACCAGGGGCCTGGAGGGTGTGAGGGGAGTGTGAGGTGTGGGTGGGGACACAGGCGGGAAAATCCGGGAGTACTCTGATGGCGGAGGTTGCAGTGGCCGTTCTGAAAGACAATGAAGACATGATGATTATGATTGCAGTCTTTTGTCCCTGCTGCAATGAGAAGTATCCAGACGAGTGAAAACAGCCACGGGGCGAGCTCAGAGGTGTGGGTGGGATTTTTATGGCCATAAGTTTCATGGTTATAGAGTGAGTTATCCAGTAATGATCACACCATCGCTGCTTGTCATGTCATATTTGCTAAGCTGTGTTGAGGTTCATGTACAGCTGTTATGCATAGTGTGCCACATTTCTGTGGAACAAAGACGGATTTTACTTGCTTCTGTTTAAAGAACAGTCACAGCAGTGACCATGACGCCTTCAGTTCAGTACTGAGTAAACCTGAATCTTTTTTTTCACATGCATTATTCCTAAAACTTCAAATCACATTTTCTCTGCTTTACATGTTAAAGGAAGCCAACTGATGGCTCAAATGTGCATCTTCTGCAAGATTTTTTTGAAAGGGCCTATTTGAAGTTTTAAAAAAAAAGGACTAATCTAATTATCATGCTGCAGTTCTTTTCTTCCTCTTTCTCTTCTTTTTATTTTTCATTATCCAATACCAGGCTTTACATACCAGTTTTAATAACAATTTTATTGCTGTGCTCAAAATATGAGTTAAAACATATGTAATTATCAGATATCTGAACTGGATTATTCTTAATTAGCTTACAATTTCATTCTATGAAAGAAGATTGGTGACCCGATCGGCCTGCTATCATGCTCCACCTTCAACACACATACAGTATATCTACCCAATTTTTAGTCATGTTCTCCTTTCAGGTTAGATGAGAAATAGGAATCATCACTTTCTTCCACTAATATCTGGCTGCAATGGACAGCAGTTGTTAACGTTATGCTACCAGGCAGCAGCAAATCGAGCAGCCAAGGTCACACACGATCAGATGACAATGACCAACACAACGGATTAGCTATAGAAAGAGTGGGGGTAGAGATTAGGGGTGAATTGATGATGGTTGGCTGGCCGACTGGCTTTCAGGTCTGGGAGATCTAGGGTCTGTTTCAATAAGGAACATAAAGAGCAGAAATTAACATGTACCATGATACCAAGCAGGGCGAATCCTCTTAGAGATTACATCCATAACATGTTACGCCTATGGAACTGTATGGAAAGGGAAGACAAAGACACAAGCAAATTATAATTTTTTATTTTATTTTATTTTATTTTTTGCCTTAGCAGATTGCAGAGCATCCTATTGTGTCTGATTCTATTGTATTCTTTTTTGTTTGGTTCCTTTATGCTTACAAGCATAGCTGATGTAGATGTAGTCATTTTTCAACTTTATCTTTTTTGAGACAAATTGTTTGACTGGAAAAAGCTGACCTCTTCCTCAGGATTATTGCCTTCTTAATGTCACTATTGCATTCTTCATTAGGGGAATAACCACCAACAGCAGTGTTCCTGCAACATCTGTGTTGTGCTATACATAGACATACATTGGCAAAAGCACACAAACACATGCATTCACACTTAAGGACACACATGCACACACACGTGTGCGCACACACCCTCCATCTGTCTTTTCTCCCTCCTGCTGCCATCAGAATGGATCTGTCTGCAAAACAATGTGGGATGCGTCACACAAATACATATCATATGCTTCATTTTCCCGTAAACACGAGGTAGATACCTGTGCATTTTCATGGCTATTAAAACACTAATACAGTGCCCTGCATTGTGCACAGTCTAAGAACAAGTGGACAGACAAGAGCTAATCTTGAACCTTTAAAACCCGTGAAGTACTCATGCACCACCAGCTACCTAAACGTAAACTAGACTGGGATGGTGATGACAATGGTCACTGAGAGCTAAGGTTGTAAACTGTATATAAAAGAAGGGCCACCTTTTGTTTGATCAAATGGTGACACCTACTGGCTTCCAATCAACATTGCAAGAAAATGGCTTCTTTGGGCACCATTATTTCCTTTTATCCTTATGAGTTCTAAAATAGCTGTTTTAGAACTCTTACTCATCATTTATACTATGAGTAATAGTGGTTCAGCTTTTTATGCTAGAATATTCAAACAGAGGAAGTTTTTTTTAAGTTTCTAAAAAAGTAGCAGTATCACAATGTAGAAATATTCCAAACCCACATTCTGAATTTTCAATCCAGCTATCCATTTTCTTCTCCTTATCCTAGAGAGTAAATTTCCCCCAAAATGTCAGCACTGAAAAGTCTATCTTCAAGATAACACATTTACTCCTAAGACTATTTATTCCTACAGGAGACATAAACCTTTTAAAGTCAGTTACAAATATATAGTTTCCTTTTTAAACACTAGGGCACCACAGCTTTAATCAAACTAGAACCACACACATTAATTAATTAAATAAATAATAATAATCAGCAGTTTTTGCTCATCTCTGATTCTCTGTTGCTACACCGCTGGGTTCAAACCAAATGAGAGTTTTTATTGTTTAGACTATTTGGAATTTTCTTATATAAAATGTTGTCAGTTCTCTATCATTTACTATGATTGGGAGTTCTCAAAGTCTACATACTTAGCTGAACAGAAAAAAATCAAACAAATCAGCGCTTTGGTATTAAGTCATTTCAGTGTGGTAGTTCAGGAGAATAACCCTGCACTGCATCTGTGTAGTGTGTGTGAATATTAGATTAAAGTGCTTGTCTGGATGCATGTGTGACTGGGTGAATGAGGTTTGTAGTGTTAAGTCTTTTGAGTGGTCAATGAGAGCAGAAAAGTGCCATATTTGTACTTGTTTGTAGTTTCCTTGTTCCTTTTTCCTTCCCCTCATCCCCCAGTTGCGGCAGATGGTTGCATCCGTGTGGAGTTTTAATTTTGTGGCTGGTTGTTGTATGCGTTTGCAGTGTATCTGATGATGAAGAAAAATGACGACGGTATCTCTTATCTTTTCATCTGATTTGAGGATTACAGAAACGTCTCAAACAAAAAATTACCTTTAAGGAGGAGTCCGATTGTTAAAATATAAATGTGTTACGTACAGATAAAACTACACATGCCATATTCACAGCAAAAAACAAACAAAACAGAATGCATTGACACAAGCAATTTTATTTGAAAAAAGTGAACTGTACAGGACGTAAAAAAAAGAAAAAAGAAAAAAAATGAAATCAGTCCCAATCATTTCTTGACATGCTGACAAAGCAGCTTCCTGTACAGCATTCGACAGAGGACAAATAAAAACATATTACATCACTGTAACCAATGTTACCAGTAATCAAACCTAAACCAGTAGGCATACTCTTGGTCTCGAAACACACACACAATAAAAGTGGCATTTCTTCACGTATAGGTCTTCAATGTTACAATTCATGATTCAGGGTTTGTTTGTTTTTTTTTGCTGACTAAACCACGCCCCCTGTTGGACCACAGTGGGACTGTCACATGGCTCCTTCCTTCACGAACTCTAGATCTGTACAGCTTATCCCAAACTAGAAAATGCAAATCGAACATCTATTTAAGAATATCCCAGTAAGGACAATTTTCAGAAGCATTTCTGTTTAACTGAATTCTGATTTGACTTTCATCCATTCAGTTATAAGAATTTTTTTTTTTTAAACATCCACAATGGAAGTCTCTTCCCCAGGGTTCTCAGCATTTGGTTGAAACGATTGCATAGCTCTGAGAGTTAGCGCTAGCCCTCTCAGGCCCTTCAAATGT